CCTGTGTTCAAGGAGATAAACAGATAAAAGCCTGATGCTAAATGGGATAAAGGAATGGTGATCTCAGGGCAAGATCTCACACAGCTAAGCTTCCAACTTGTGAAAAGGAATTAATGAAAAGCCTTTAATCCCAGCACTCCAAAGGCATAGGCAGACAGATTTCAGAGTTCAAGGCCAGCCTGGTCTACAGATGGAGTTCCAGGACAGCCTAGCTTAGGCAGTGAAGGGAACCATGGAAAACAGAAAACTGGCGAAGATATTATTGAACAAAGGGACCACATTCCAGCCCCAGAAAGCAGTAGAATTTGGCAACTTCAGCCACATGGCTCCCGATTTAGAGTCAAGGATACAAGATAGGGGTTATGAAATCCTCTCCCATGACTAAAGAAAGCTGCTGAGGCTAGGCATGTGTCAGGAGTGTCCCTGCATGGAGGCCTAGAGAGGCCGTTTTGTGAAGCTATAGAGATGAAGCCTGGGTTGCCTTGGAGATTCCAAGGTGTTGGAGATGTCCGAGTTGTGGGATACCTGTCAAGGACAGCTGCTGACAGGGAGTGGAGCCAGCCCAAAGGAAAGAAGTGTGTTGCAGTCAACAAAGCTGAAAGGAGCTGGAGATCTGAAGAGCCCCCAAAGAGCTCGAAACATCAGACGTAGAGATGTAGAGTTCGGATTTTGCCCAGCTGGTTTTCAGTTTCATTTCAGTCCAGTATTTCCTCAATATGCTCCCTTCCTCCTCTTGGGAACAGTAATGTATATCTTGTGCCATTGTGTGTTAGAAGTATGTGATCTGCTTTTTTAATTTTGATTTTGTAGGGAGTTACAGTTAAAAGATTGCATGAGTCTCAGAAGACACTTTGAACTTTGTACTTTTACAGAGTGCTGATACGGATAGACTATGTTTTGAAGTTGTATTAAATGCACTTTTAATTATGATATGGGTACAAGCCTATGGGGCAAGGGTGGTGGTTTGAATGAAAATGGCCCCCACAGGTCTATAGAGAGTGACACTGTTAGGAGATGTGGCCTTGTTGGAGGAAGTGTATCACTGGGGGTGAGCTTTGGGGTTCCAAATGCTCAGGCCAGGCCCAGTATTGTTCTCTCTTTCTGCTGCCTGAGGATCCTGATGTAGAACTCTCAGCTCCTTCTCCAGCACCATGTCTGCCTGCATGCCCCCATGCTTCCCACCACCATGCTTCCTGCCATGATAATGGACTAAACCTCTGAACTATAAACCAGCCCCAATTAAATGGTTTCCTTTATAAGAGTTGCTGTGGTTATGATGTCTTTTCACAGCAATAAGAACACAGGGTATCTCCCTGAATCTGGAGTCGGATGTTTAGGCTAGACTGGCTGGCCAACGAGCCTCTGGGGTCACCTCTTTATGACCTTCAATATTTCATGAGAGACACTGTTGCATGTAACTTTATGTACATGATTGAAATCCAAACTCAGCTCTTCAGTTTATTCACTGAGTATCCTTTGCAGCCTCCCATACACTGGCTTTCTAGAGAATCAATACCCTTTCTATAGACCAATGACAGACGCATTGAAAAAGAAATCAGGGGAGCAACGCCATTCACAATAGCCTAAAAAGTACTTGGAATAAACCTAACTAAGGAAGTAAAAGATGTGTATATGAAAACTTTAAAAGACCGAAGAAGTAGAAGAAGACACCAAAAGGCAGAAAGAACTGCCGTGTTTTATAATAATTCGTCTTGTGAGGGTGACATCCTACCAAAAGCAATCTACAGACTCAATGTAGTCCAATCAAAATGGAAACTCCATTCTTCATCATTTTTTTAATCCAAAAATTCATACAGATCCACAAAATTCCCCACATAGTCAAAGCAATCCTGAGGAAGAATCCTGCTGGAGGTGTGGTAATACCTTCTTTCAAGTCATATTACAGAACCTTACTATTTTTTCCTTTCTTACTTAAAATTTTTTTATTCATTTTACATACCAACCACAGAGCCCCCTCTCATCCCTCTCCCCAGCCTCCCCCTGACCCACTTCCCATCCCCTCCCCCAAAAGGGTAGGGTCTCCCATGGGGAGTCAGCAAAGCCTGGTACATTCAGTTGAGGCGGAACCAAGCCCTTCCCCCCTGCATCAAGGCTGAGCAAGGTGTCTCATCACAGGTAATGGGTTCCAGAAAGCCAGCTCATGAACCACGGATAGATCCTGATCCCACTGCCAGGGGCCCCTCAAACAGACCCACAACTGTCTCCCATGTACAGAGGATCTAGTCCGGTCCCATGCAGGTTCCACAGCTGTCGGTCTAAAGTTCCTGAGTTCCTATGAGCTTGAGAACTATTAAAGCCAGCATGGTTTGACACAACACCAATACCAGACCAATAGAATAGGATAAAGGGTACAGACAGAAACCCACATAACTCAGCTACTAATATTTTTATTTAAAATTTAAAATTTAATTTTATGTGTATTGGTCTTTTTGCTTGCATGTATGTTTGTGCACAGGAGGTGAGTCTGCTTGTCTAGGCTGGAAGGCAGCTTCCTTCCCCCTGGCACTGGAGTTGGAGATGATTGTAAGTCATCACGTAGGTGGTTAGACTTGAATCCAGGTCCTCTGCCAGAGCAGCCAGTGCTTCTAACTGCTGAGCTGTCTCTCTAGCCCCAAACTATCATTTTTGACAGGGAAGTAAAAAAATACTCATTGGAGAAAAGTAAACCTCTTCGCCAAAACACTTGTATCTACTCACAGAAGAGTGAAAGTAGACTTCTCCTCACCCCTGCACAAAAGTCAGCTCTAAGCAGATCAAGTGCCACTTCCTCTGACAAGCTGCTCTAGTTTTAGCTCGACACTTCCCTACAGGCTGGGGAAGGGTTCATTGATCTCAGTGCTTGTCATATTTGGTCATCTGAAGCTGGATGGCTCGTGTGTGTGTGTGTGTGTGTGTGTGTGTGTGTGTGTGTGTGTGTGTCTGTCCGTCCTATGGGATGTTAAGAAGAGACCTGACTTCTACTCATAGATGCCAATGGTTTCCCTCACCTGCTTTTATATGTTTTTGGGTTTCTTGTTTTAGAATTTTTGGATTTTGTTGTTACTGTTTTTCCAGAGACAGAGTCTCACTCTGGAGCCCAGGCCAATCTGGAACTCATGACAATCCTCCTGCCTCAGTCACCCACATGCTGGTATTACAAGCTTGAATCGACATGCCCAGCTCCCCTACCTGGTTTTCTTCATTGTGCCGTTTACTTTCTGTTCGTGTGTCTAGAGATTTATTTATTTTAATTTTTATGTGTGTGAGTGCCTGCATCTATGTCTATGCACAGGCATACAGTGCTCACAGAGGTCCGAAGAGGGCTTGGGTCTCCTGGGACTGGAGTTACAGACAGCTGTGAACTGCCACGTGGGTTCTGAGAATCAAGTCCGGGTCCTCTAGGAGAGCAGCCAGTGCTCTCAGCCACTGATCTCTCTCTGCAGCCCTCCATTCGTGCTTTTAGCTGTTTTGTCTAATTTTAAGTGCCATTAAATTTTGCTTAAAAAGAAAATTTATACTGTGGAATGCTGCCTACACAGGAATAGGAAAAATGGGAGGGTTTAAAATTAGGATTTTACATTATTTTCTTACATCTTACTGCAACTTAATAATGCCTAGTTCTATAATAATTTAAAGCCACTTGCTTCTTTACATTAAATTTTTAGTGTGGGCGGTCTCTGCTTAACATCTCACATGGTTCACTGGTTAACAGCACCTGCTGCTTTTGTTGAGGATCCAAGTCAGTTCTTAGCACCACATCAGTTGGCTGCAAAGGCCTTGCAACTCCAGTGGTTCTGATGCCCTCTGTGACTTCAACATGCACTTGCACACACACACACACACACACACACACACACACACACACACAATAGGCCTTTAGATGTAAAATGTGTAGTACACTTTCACTTTTATGTATCCTCCTCTTAGTAAGGCAATAAAGCAAACTTGTTGATTTGCCAGTTTGGGCACTGGTGCCCTCGCTACTTCGGTCTGTTGTTGACTCCCTTCCTGGGGTGAGTAGAAGCTTGTGTTGTGTCTCCTCAGAAGTCTATCACACAACAGCTAACAGGCAGTTCACAACTGTCTCCAACTCTACTTTAAGGGATCTAATGCCCTCTTCTGGACCTCACGGGCACCTGCACATGGGTGACACTCACTCATGTACACACACACACACACACACACACACACACACACACACACACACACACCAGAGTGGTTGAATTTAGAAATGACTGTTCTCATGTGTGGCTGATATGGAGCAGGTTGTAAAGTCCAGCTGACAGCATCTTAGGAAGGTAAGCCTAGACCTAACCCCTGTAGCCCTGATGTCCTGCTGCTTTAACCTGCCCGTGATTAAAAATTTATTTCTTGAAAAGTATGAAGCACAGTCAATATTTCAACCTCGAGGAGACAGTTGTGAAAACAACAAAACATGACCAGAATTGAAAGGTGTGTAGTTTTAGTGGAATAATGCAAATTTAACATAATTGAGTAGCTAAGAAGCATTTTTGAAAATGTGAAATAATGGGTCAGAAAGTTTGTAATGAGTAAAGGAGAAGAAAATCAAGCAGGGCTGACTGACAGGAAAGGAAGTAAGCAGGGTTGGAAGCCAAAGTGTGATTTGATGAGCGTGGTCAAAAACAGGCCTTGTGGAGGCCAACTTTTCAGCATCTCGCAGTAACTCCTGATTGGCTCGGAGCCACCACAAAGATGGGTGGGACTTGCATGTTCTGCTACTGATTGGCTATGATGACTTTGCATCAAGTTCCAGAGGCTAGTGCGCAATGCAAAGCTTCATAACCTCACTTGCTGGTTGTAGCGTGGGACCGCAGCCATTCTTTGGCTGCTGGGTAAGATGTTCATACGTCACCAGGTCGTTGACTGACTGACTGACAGACAGACAGGAGAGAGACAGACACACACACACACACACACACACACACACACACACACACACACACACACACACTGCGCATGCGCGGCAGAGACTTTCACGCAGCCCATCTATGGCACTCTAGCCAGGCAGACAGAACATGATGGGCCGCCTGGGACTATGGGAGGGTCCATGGGATTTTTATGCATCGAGGTTCTCCATGCTGGGCTTCTGGGGGCACGGAGTTCCTCCCTTAGTCAAGCAGTCCTCAGACAGCGTATCCTTGGACTTCTCACGTGACAGCCACAGGGCGGTTAAACCCTCGCAACGTCAGCTCCAGGGTACCCCAGCTTCTGCGTTTGTCCAAGGCCCATTCTGGATCAGCAGACAGGGACTGTACACCGGTCAGTTTCCAGGGCCCAGTTTAGTCAGTTCACGCTATGCTAGTCAGCCTGTCACTTGTCACTCCTCAGTGCCCTGGTCAGCGTTTCACCTCTCAGTCTGCTGTTCATCTTCCCCGCCCCCACCCCCTCCCCACCTAGTCAACCTGTTACCCTTCAAGTCACTTATTTGTCCAGTCTATCACTTGTTTGTCCTGTCACCCCTCAGTCACTTGGTCAGCCTCTCTCCCCTCAGTCACCTTCAGCATGTCACCAAGTTAGCCTGAAAAGTAGCCAGTGGATCACCATTCTACTAATAGAACACATTAGAAGCATGGGAGTTAATGATCAGGCTAGTGGCAGTGTGAGTTAGCCATTTGCTCCCTTGTAAATCAGTTAATCCCATAATCCATCTCTGTCATAACCTGACAGGGATCCATTAATTAGGCTCCCGCCAGTCTCTTGGTAAATTAGTCCCAATTACATACCTATAATCCTAGCTCTTGAGAGGTGAAGGCAGGAGAATCAGAATTTCAAGGTTATCCTCAGCTACATAGAAAGGCCAGCCTTGGCTACATAAATCAAAACAAAAGAAAACAAAAATCTAACAGTTGGAGAGCACTTAGCTAGCAAGATGGAGGTAGGGAGACAGATAGATGGAAGTGTGCTGAAGAAAAAGAATTTCATGGAGCCCCGAGACATCAAGTAAAATGAAGAGGAGTGAAAACCATGAAGAGATCCATTAGTAGTGTCCTACCTATGCCCCTTAAAGCTGGCAGAGAAGAGCAATAAGAAATCAGAATTATAAAGCTAGATTAATCACTACATCTCCAGCAATAAATCCCACCCATGTGACGTGAACATGAAAACAAAATGGAAGAAGGGATAATATTTGACCAGAGTACTTTGGTGATTTACTGGCAAAGCTTGGGCCAGGACCCATATTAGGTTCATTCCAACATCCAGAATGAGGTTTTAAGTTGGCAGAAGAGAAGAGAAAAGTTGACAGAGCAAAGGTGAGGCTCATATTTGATGTGAAAGTAAGAAGCACTTATGCCTGGAAGCCTGGCAGCAGCATCTCTCTGTGAGGAGCAGGAGCAACCCAGCACTCAGGAGCCAGAGACTAGCCTGGTCTGAACAGCCAGCTACAGTAGGCTTCCTATTTCAGCCTGTGAGCCACCACATCTGGCTGTGAATTTAGTGACTGATTTATTCAGACTCCATTTCTGGACAATGAAAGGAACACCAGAAATCTAGATTCTACCCACCCTGTGGGTCCTGTCCCCCATCCCTCACATTTCAACTCATCCTTTCTCAATAACAATAGAGGTCTCTGCCCTGGTCACCTGGCCTGCAGTGGAAGAACCTCAAACATATGCACCTCTTGATCCCATACCTCCATGGTATAACATCGCCTTAGTTAGAGTTTCTATTGCTGTGAAGAGACACCATGGCCACAGCAACTATTATAAAGGAAAAACATTTAATTGGGGTGGCTTGCATTTTTAGAGGTTTAGTCCATTGTTATCATGGTGCAACATGGTGGCACACAGGCAGACATGGTGCTGGAGAAGGAGCAGAGAGTCCTACATCTTGACCTGCAGGAAGTGGCCTGAGACACAGGGCAGGCATAGCTTGAGCATAGGAGACCTCAAAGCCCGCCCCCCACAGTGACACACTTTCTCCATCAAGGCCACACCTCCTAACAATGCCACTCCCTATGAGCTTATGGAGCCAATTACATTCAAACTACCATCCATCCATGCATTGCCACTAACTTTTGAGAACTTGGAATACCTGGTCATCGAGCCCCTTTTCCTAAACAGACACAGCACTGGGTTGGAAATATTGCTCGGTGGTAGAGTGCCACATTAAGGATGACCACATCTGTCCCTAGATACTCCTGGGCATCTCATCCCATGTAAAACTTGCTTCTCTAGGGTATCTGGTGTTTGGAATGACTGAAGGGTTGCAGGCACCTGTGTCTTAGTTAGGATTTCAAGTGCTGTGAAGAGACACCATGACCACAGCAACTCTTATAAAGGAAAATATTTAATTGGGGTGGTTTACATTTTCAGAGGTTTAGTCCATTATCATCATGGTGAAACATGGTGGTGTGCAGGCAGACATGGTGCTGGAGAAGTAGCTGATGTAGGACACATCTTGACTTGCAGGCAACAGGAAGTGGTCTGAGACACTGAGCATGGCTTGAGCACATATGAGACCTCAAAGACCACTTTCACAGCGACACACTTCTTCAACAAAATCACATCTACTCCCACAAGGCCACACTCCCTTTGGGGGCCATTTTCTTTCAAACCACCACAGCCTGCTTTTCAAAGATGTTTCTGCACACCCCCCTCCACATGATCTTTCAGTTGCCATCACCTCCTTCCTCACGGTGAAGAGTACTGGGATTCTTGCTGTTGCATATGGGGATGCCGCATCTACAGCTGGGTAAGTGGGACAAGAAGCACTTCTGGGGCTGCCTGAGGAAGCTGCAGATGCAACTGTGAAGAAAGAGGACAGAAGGCTGTAGAAGACAAATAATCATTGTGGATTTGACATCATCTCTGTATCTGGGGTCCCCAGTGAGGGCTGGGGTGTGGCTCAGTGGTGGAGTCCCTGATAGAACCCCCCAGTGAGGGGCTGGGGGCATGGCTCAGTGGTAGAGCCCCTGCCTAGAATCCCCCAGTGAGGGGCTGGGGTGTGGTTCAATGGTAAGGCATTATCTAGCATGTGGGAGGCCTTGAGTTTCATCCCCAGCGTGGCAAACAAAGGAAAGAAGGGTGGGTCCCTAAGGAAGAAGACAAAGGACAGTCAGGTCACCTTGCTGACCCCTGACCCTCCTCTCCACAGAACCTGCCAGACTGATGAGCTCCTTCTGTGCTGTGGAGAAGACATTGCGTTGCAGTTGTTCCTTTCATGGGGTCCCCACACCCTCTGTGCAGTGGTGGATGAATGGTGCTCCTGTGGACGTGAACAGTGGGTATGGCCAGCTCCAGGTGACTTCTACCACACTTGGTTCCTGGGACAACAGCACCCTCAGCCTGCCCAAGGACCCAGAAATGGGCACAGTCCTTCTTTGTGAGGGAAAGAACCAACACGGAACCCACGGTTTGAGCATCCTGCTGATGTCAAGTGAGGGCAGGGACTTGGAGACTGGGTGAGGGCAGTGAACGGGGAGGGGCTTGGAGACTGGGTGAGGGCAGTGAATGGGGAGGGGCTTGGACTGGGTGAGGACAGTGAATGGCAGGGACTTGGAGACTGGGCGAGGGCAGTGAATGGGAGGGACTTGGACTGGGTGAGGGCAGTGAATGGGAGGGACTTGGACTGGGTGAGGGCAGTGAACGGGGAGAGGCTTGGAGACTGGGCGAGGACAGTGAATGGGAGGGACTTGGACTGGGCGAGGACAGTGAATGGCAGGGACTTGGAGACTGGGTGAGGGCAGTGAACGGGGAGGGGCTTGGAGACTGGGCGAGGACAGTGAATGGGAGGGGCTTGGACTGGGTGAGGGCAGTGAACGGGGAGGGGCTTGGAGACTGGGCGAGGGCAGTGAATGGGAGGGGCTTGGACTGGGTGAGGGCAGTGAACAGGGAGGAGCTTGGAGACTGGGTGAGGGCAGTGAACAGGAGGGGCTTGGAGACTGGGCGAGGGCAGTGAATGGGAGGGACTTGGACTGGGCGAGGGCAGTGAACGGGAGGGACTTGGACTGGGCGAGGGCAGTGAACGGGAGGGACTGGCACTGAGGCCAGAAGAGGGAGCACAGCCTGGAATCTGAATCTTAAGAAAGGCTTCTCGAGGGTGTACAAGATGGCCCAACCAGGAAAGGTGCTTGCGGCCAAACCTAACAACCTCAGTTCAATCCTCAGGTGCCACATGGTAGGAGGCGAAAGCAGACTACTGCAACTTGTCCTCTGACCTCCACATGCACACGGTGGCATATGCAACGCCCCACACAGATATGCAAACAAACAAACAAATATGTTTTTACTTATAAAAATAAAGCCTTACTGAAATGCCTTCTACTTCCAGGAAGGGGCCCTTTGGCTCCCCAGATCTTCCTGAAAGCGCTGCTCCAGGGTGTTGTCTACGCAGCCACGGCAATCACACTACTTTTCCTCTGCCTCCTCCCCTTCATGTGAGTATGTCTTAGCCAATTTTATGCTATGTAACAAAACACCTGAGATGAGCTAATTTATGAAACACAGACGTTTATTTAGCTCAGGGTCCCAGAGGCTGAGTGAATGAAAGAGTATGGTGCTGGCATCTAGATCCAGCAAGGGCTTTCTTGATATATCACACGGTGAGACCCAGAGCAAGCATCTCTTCTCATAAAACCACTAATGCCATCATAAGGGCCTCCCCTTCATGACCTCCCTAATCCTATGTAACAAAGAGAAATATGGTAATTGGGACTGAGTGGTTGTCTATCAGGGGAAGAGGAATGACATGGTGCAGCATGGAGAGAAGCTGGATTCAAAGGCAAACACAGGTTAGGAATATTGCTCAGTGCTTGCCTAGCATACACAGAGCCCTGGGTTCAATTCCTAGCACTGTATAAACTGAGTGTGGTGGTGCATGCCCATAATCTCAGCATTCGGGAGATAGAGACAGGAAGATTAGAAGTTCAAGGTCATCATCCTTAATATGGTGAGTTCAAGGCTGGCCTGGGCTACATGAAACCGTCTCAATAAGCAAGCAAGCACAAATAAATAAATAAATAAATGACAAGGCATTGCAGAGATGGCTCAGTAGTTAAGAGTCCTGGCTGCTCTTGCAGAAGACCTGGGTTTAGCTTCCAGCACCCACATGGTGGCTCACAACCATCTGTAACTCCAGTTCCAGAAGATCTGCCACCGTCTTCTGGCTTCCAAGGGCATGCATGCAGTGCACAAACATACATTCAGGCAAAACATCCATACCCATGAAATAAAAATAAATAAGCTTTAAAAAAATCTCAACTCCCCCATACAACAAAGAAATAAATAACAATCTCTAGAGGTGCAAGGCCCCTTCACAGCTGACCCATCTGAACCCATGGCCTGTTAAACAGGGAATCCCAATCACACAGGGTGTGAAACCAACTTGCAGAGAAGTTGGGTGGCCTTCCCTAGATAGCACAGCCAGCAGGCAGTACTGTTGAGACTCCAGACTTGAATGTCGAACAAAACCAGAGTCCACCTGGGGACGCAGGGGCAGGAAATTGGAACTAATCAGAAACACATTTCCGTAGAGTGAAACTTCTCAGGACCAAGCAGGCAAAGAAGTGTGCACAGACGAGAGTCCAGCAGGACTCTGAGGCTGGAACAGACCAAGAATCCAGCACGAAGCCCAAGGAGCCCAGGGAATTCAGAACTGAGTCGCCTTCTGGGACGCAGCTCTCAGTGAGTGCCCCTTGCGCCAGAATGGAATCCAGCTAGCAGGACAGTGTTAGGAGGGGGAAGCTTGTGTGCTGCTTTGGAGAGATAGTGTCCAGCCTGTAGCCTGTATAATGCACAATTAACCTGAAGGTTGTTTCATGGGTACTGAAGTGGAGGCCCCAAGAGCCTCATGGAAGAAACTAAGACACATAGTTTAAAAAATAATTAGAACTATCAACACACACACACACACACACACACACACACACACACACGCTCCATATACATCATATGCACGTACACATATAGCATGCACACATATACACAGACTCACTAGACATATACTCTATGCACATATCATACTTGCACATATATACACATGTACACCACACACACACACACACACATGTACCACACACATATATACACACAGAGACACACCATATCCATCACATACATGCATGCACACACACCATATACACACATACCATACACACCACTGTAGCAGGCTTTCTTTTGGGCCACCAACCAGCGCCCAAATCATGACATAAGAGATATTAATTAGTTATGAATGCTCAGGCTTATCTTATGCTTGTCCCACTAGCTCTTATAACTGATTTACCTGTTTTGCTTCATCTGTATTTTGCCTCAGGGCTTTTTACTTTTCTTTTATTCTGTATGTCCAACTCTGTTTAGCTGGCTGGCCCCAGGCATCTCCCCATCTTTCTTCCTTTCTCTCTCTTGTTTTTCTCTCTTCCTAGATTCCTCCTCCTACTTATTCTCTTTGCCCTCCAGCCCCACCTATCCCTTTCCTGCCTGGCTATTGGTTGTTCAGCTTTTTATTAGGCCAATCAGGTGCCTTGTGCAGGTAAGGTGAAACAAATGCAACATCTCTTTACATAATTAAACAAAGGCAGCAGAAACAAATATAAAACATCTTTACATAAAGTAATATTCCACGACACACCATACATACACACATACCCACACATACAAACCCACCCACACATATATACCATATGCACACAACACATACATATACACATACACACACTCCATATACACATACATACCGTATACACACAACACACACACACACACATATACCACACATATACACACACTCTGTACACACAGACACAGATGCATACTTACCATATACCACACACACACACACACACACACACACACACACACTCACACACACTCACACACATATACCACACATATACACACACTCTGTACACACAGACACAGATACATACTTACCATATGTATACCACACACACACACTCACACACTGAATCCCCACTGGGAAGTGGGTTGATGCTCCTCTAGCAGTAGTGGTGGCATCAGAGTGGAAACCACAGGTTTGGCCTCTGGTGTGCAACAGGCAACAACCACCTACAGCCTAAGGCTCCAGTCAGTGCCAAGTGCTTGGAGATTAGGGAGTACTTGAGGCTCAGCTCTGTGACCAGAGCTGGCTCATGGTTCAAGGGATACAGTTTCTAATGGTCAGTGTTAGCTGTCAGCTGGACAGGATCTAGAATCACCCAGGAGATGGGCCTCTGGACGTGCCCCGTGGGGCCTGTCTTTATTGCACTGATTGAGGTGGGAAGACCTGCCCACTGTGGGTGGCACCATTCCCTGGCAGGGATCATGAACTGTGTAAGTGGAGAAATTGAGCTGAGCACCAGCTGGCATGCTCAAGTTATTGCTGTGTTTCCCAACTGTGGATATGATGTGATGAGGTGCTTCAGGTTTCTGCTGCCTGGAGCTCCCCGTCTTGATGGACTGCATCTTGTACTGTGAGCCAGAATAAATTCTTTCTGGCTGGAGAGATAGATAGCTTAGTGGTTAAGAGCACTAACTGCTCTTTCCAGAAGCCTTGAGTTCCGTTCCAAGCACCCACATCAGACAGCTCACAACTGACTATAAGTCCAGCTTTAGAGGGTCCCATGCCCTCTTCTGGCCTCTGTGGGCATCTGCACACATGCTCACATACTCACACAGACACATAAATAAAAACACATCTTAAAAACAGCATCAAGAAAAAGAAGAGGCAGAGAGCTCAGGCAGGAAACAAGGCCAGGCCCTAACTCGGAAAGGTCCACCCTCACTGAGGCACCTGTGTCAGCCATTCATCCAGCCCATTCATCCAAACCTCCTGAAGCAGCACCACCAGCTGGAGAGCCAGTGTTCAATGTGTCTGATTTCACATCCAAACCATAACACCAGGTTGCTCCTTCCTTCACCCCGAGCCCTACAACCCCTTGGCTGGAACAGTGCTGGAGACTAAGTCTCATTCTTATTTACCATCTGTGAGTCTCCAGGACATCCTGCTGCTGTTAGTTACTCTTCTGTTGCTCTGATAGAACACCAAGACCAAGGAAGAGTTCATTTGAGCTTATGGTTCCAGAGGGTTAAGAGTCCAGTGTGGTGGTGGAGGCAGGCATGACATCAGGAGCAGGAAGCTGACAGCTCACATGTTCAAATGCAAATCAGAAGCCGAGTGCAGACAGTAGTAAGTGGGGTGAGACTATAAACACTTAAAGCCCACTCCCGGTGACATACTTCCTCCAGCAAGACTAGGCTCCATCTCTCAAAGGCTCTGCGACCTCTCCAAACAGTGCCACCAACTGGGGACCAAGTGAGTCATACCACCTCACCCCACCACAACCCCAACCCCCGTGAGCTCATGTAAATTGAACACTTGTCTCTCAGATGGTAGTGCTGCTGTGGAAGATTATGGAAACTTTAGGAGGTAGAGCCTGACTGAAGAAAGTGGGGGTGGGGTGGTGATGGGGGGGGTGTCTTAAGTCTTAAGACCAGTTTATGTCTGCTCTCTGTTTCATAGTCTGCACTGGGTGGTGTGAGGTCCCAGGAATGAATCAGACCTAGCCCTTGACCTCAGAGAGTAACCAAGCTGGTAGGGAAAGGTGCCGTCCCAGAAAGAGGACTGAGCCAGGGGTTAGGGTGTCCAGAGCATGGGGAAACACTTGCCTGAGGCCATCATATACAACATCTCAGGAACCTAAGGGCTATTCTGGGAGCCTCTAGTTGCAACAGGGAGGGGCCAGAGGGAGAAGAGTTTTGTAGGCTCCAGCCATGGAATTGTGAGGAAAGCTAAGCCAACGTTTGATCCATGTTGCCTTGGAGTTCCCTCTCAGGTGTGGTGACTTCGTCTGTAAATCTGCTCCATCATCTCTCTTTGCCCCACCTTCTCACCTTCCAGGAAAAGGAAGACAGAGCCTGAAGCCTACGAAGGCCGTGGAGACAGCATCCCATCCCAAGTTCCCACTGTGCCCAGAATTACAAAAACCCATGGAGACTTCAGAAGCCCCAAGTCCATAATAAACTTGAGGTCCTGAGAATCTGCGCTCACAAAGCCCTCTCAGCTTCTTCACATCCCATACACTCCAAGGTGTGGAGACTACTACTGGGCCTGGTCTCAGAACTTTTAAAGGTCACCTGTATGATTAACAAATCATATAGGTTTGGGTGAGCCAAAAGGTACATATTTCACTCTGAGACAGAGTTACAGGAGAGAAAAATGAATGCACATGGCACTGTGAAACAGGGATTTTGATCCCTTTCTTCATGACCAGTTCCATAGATAGACAGACAGACAAACAGACAGACACACACACACACACACACACACACACACACACACACACACACACACACACACACACACACACGAGCGCCATTATATTTTAATCTAATCCCAAAGTAAGTGCTTAGTAGATGAAACCTTTGGACAAGATCTCCCATTCTTATCTCTCTCCCTCAAACTTCAGTAGACTCATATAATGTGTACTTGAATGGAGACTAGTTGTAGAAAGTGGTACCCAGAGCGGGCAGTGGTGGTACACCCCTTTAATCCCAGCACTTGGGAGGCAGAGGCAGGTAGATCTCTGTGAGTTCAAGGCCAGCTTGGTCTACAAAGTTAGTTCCAGGACAGCCAGGCCTACACTGAGAAACCCTGTCTAAAACACAAACCAAACAAACGAACAACCAAAACACCAACCCCCCCAAAAAAAACAAAACAAAATAAAATAACAAACGCCCCCAAAAAAAGGAAAGAAAAAAAGTAGTACCCAGAGACACAGGAGGAGAAAATATGCCATGATGAATTTGAATTGGAAGATAAAACATTGGAAGGTTATGTCATAGGATCACTCCTGACCCTCAGAGTGTCCATTCCCCGGGGATAGGAGCTTGCCTGTCTCCTCCCTGTGACAGCAGTACCAGGGACGGTGCCTAAGGTCGAAGACGCATGCGGAACTGTTTGTGAGAAAGTGAACAAATGAGTGAATGAATCATGAGCCAGTACGAGGTTTGAGGCCCAGAAGTGGAGTGAACAGGCCTATAGAGGAAGGTTGTTCTCCGAGTGAGAAAGGGAGCATGTGGTGTCTTTGGAGGGGCAGAGGTAAGGCAGAGGCAGCGAGCCTGCTTAGGTGAGTACTGCAGTGTCTCTTGGTATTTCATGACATTGTTAGGAGGTAAAAGAAATGTGTGTTCATTCCTAAAGAAGACCAAAGAAAAGATTCCTATATGTCCAACCCGGCCAAATAAATGAATTTGTTAGAGGTGCTGACAGGAACATGGGTGACTCGTGTGCAGTGGTACTATGCGAAGTTGTGTTGTTGTTTCCTTCTGTTGCGGGGACAAAACACTCCAAGAGGAACCTGGAGAGGGAAGGATGTATTAGGCTGACACTTCCAAGTGACAGTCCATCACTGAGTCAAGACAGGAACCTAAAGTAGAAACTGTGGAGGAATGCTGCTTGCTGGCTCATGCTGAGCTAGCTTTCTTATACATCCCAGGATCTCCTGCCTAGGCATAGTGCCACCCACTATCCAGAGACTGTCCTTTGTCCCTCAGGACAAATATCTTTCCCCTCTTACCCTTGTTCCCTCCCCCTTCTCCCTCATCCTCAATCTCCTGTCTTTGTCTCTTATTCCCTGCTCGTTGTCTCTCTTGGGCAAATAAATCTTTGAGCTGAGAACTCGGTCTTGGGATGTCTTGTGCCAATACTGGTCCCTTCAGTATTGAGACCTAACATATTATGAGTCATCCAGAGGAAGCGGAAGGCTGTGGGCTCACATTGGAGAGACGCCATAAACTCAACAGTGCAAAGCAGGCCGAAAGTGAGAGGGTGGTAATTTATTTCAGAAGGGCCAGAATTTTTAGAGCCCCAAGTACTCTGGTGACTTAAGATTTTATAAGTGTGTGTGTGTGTGTGTGTGTGTGTGTGTGTGTGTGTGTTCCAGCTTTCGCAGAGTCTAGAACCACCTGCTCAAGAAAACAAACTTTTGACTGGAGGAGGTTCTGCTCTGTATCGCTGATTGCTAAAGGACCAGCTCAGAAGAGGGAAATCTGCCACTTTTTAGTGGCCTGGCCCTCCATAGACTCCCACTTGGCACCACCTCGGACTCGGATTTGTTCTGAACAGGCATGCGCCGGCTCGTTGGTTCCTGTGTGGGCGGGGCTTCTTAAGAGCATCTGTGCTTGTCAGTTACAGTCCCTCAATCTTAGTCCCGCCCAGTCTGCGCAGCGTCAGTCCTCCTGTGGGTTCATCAGGGTGGGCACTGCGTCCTTAAATCGGCCCAATTGGTTTGCCCCTCTAGAACCTAACTTCCCCAGCCAGTGTCTGTAATTGTAAGTCAGCCCCTCACTGGATGCTTTCTGCAAATCTTCCCTGAATACCCAAGAGAAAGCTTGGTTGAGGAGCCTGGAGCCCTAGGAAACGGAGACCAGGAAGTAGAATTGGAGAAGAAATTGAGGGAAGGGACAAGAAGTTGCTGTTGAGGCTGGCAAGACTCTCACTAAGAGTGCTTACAACTCTAGCTGAGAATTGGAGTTCAGTTCCCAAGTCAAGTGGCTCGAAACTGCCCATAACTGCAGTTCCAGAGGATCCAATGCCTTCTTCTGGTCTCCGCCGGCATCCAAAGACAAACAGGGGTATCAGGAGGTCAAGGCCAGCCAGGACTACAAGGGGGCTTCTCGGTCAGTCTGGAGCACACATTGACCACATATTGAGACTACAAACAAAAGAGAGCCACAAGAGCGGCTCCCAGTGTACAGGTGAGGAAAATACGAGCGTGGCAGGACTGGCCTGAAGTCAGGAGCCAGTCCTGAACGTTTCCACCCTTGATTTGAGCTTTGTAAGCCAAGCATGTAATCTAAGCATTGGGAAATGGGCACGGGAGGATCAGAGGTTAAGTTCCCGCCCAGTTATATAGTTTGAGAGTAGCCTGCACTACATGAGAGCCTGTCTCAAAAAGTCAAAAATAAGGGCTAGAGAAATGGCTCATGGGTATGAGTAAGTACTGCTCTTGCAGATCACCTGAGACAGATTTCCAATGCCCAGTGTCAGAGGGCTCACTACCATCTGTAACTCTAGCTCCAGAGATCCGACACCCTCTTCAGGACTTCACACACACACACACACACACACACACACACACACACACACACACGCAGTTCAACTCATAACCCAAAGGAGATTAGAAAATATTTTACCTTTTTTACCCTATTTTCTTTATTTTGAATGTAGGTGTGTGTGGAGGGTGCCTATGTGTGTACATGTGTGTGAGGGTTAGAGAACAATCCTGGGTGTTTCAGTTGCTGTTCTACTGCTGTGAAGAGACCCCAGAACCAAGCATTTTCCTGGTGAAGGTGAACACACGGTCGCCATGGTGGGAAGCAGACAGACATGGCAATGGGGCTGTAGCTGAGAGCTTCACATCCTGGTCCACAGGAAGCAAGCAGGGGGTGGGGGAAACAAAAAGAGGAGGAGAGAGACAGACAGACAGACACTGGCTCTGGTGTGGGCTTTTGAAACCTCAAAGTGCCCCACCCCACCAATGACACACCTCCTCCAACAAGGCCACACACCCTAGTCTTTCCAAACATTCCCACTAACTGAGAACCCCGAATTCAGATATATGAGCCTATGGACGCCATTCTTATTCAGAAAGCTACCACAGGTGCATCCCCAGGAACGCTGTCATCTCCTTTGAGACAGGGTCTCTCACTGGTCTGGAGCTCATCAATCAGGCCAGACTGGCTGGTAATTTTATATAATAAGGCAAATCATCTGAACTTACTGCTTCATGGAAAGACACCCCCTTTAACACTCTTCCTGGGATTATTTTCTTTAGCATGAAAACTAGGTTTTAAAAAAATACTCCTGAATCTGGCAATGGTCACTCATGCCTATAAACCAAGTATTCAGGAAACTGAAGCAGAAGGATTGCTAATAGTCTGAAGCCAACCTGAGCTACATAGTAAGTTCTAGGCTAGCCTGCACTACAATTTGAGGCTGTTTCAAAACAGACAGACCTTGGAATTTTATTAGCTAAAACTATATGCAGCAAGCAGGCGTTTGAAGCTCAGTTGTGATAGGAAGGGAGGGGTGAGTAGAGGTTTTTGTTTGCTGACAATAATCTTTAAAAATTGTTTTATTTATGTGTGTTTGTGCATGTGTGAGTCTGTGTGTGCTATGTTTGTGGGTCAGAAGAGGAGTTGGATGCCCAGAGCTGGTGTTACAGGTGGTTGTGGGTCACCTGACATGGGCGCTTGAACTGAGCTCAGGTCCTCTTGAAGAACAGGAAGCACTCTTAATTATGGAGTCGTCTACTCTGTCCTGCTGATAATAATTGTACTTCTGGTTGGCTCTGTGTTGTACAGCCATCTCTAGATGCCAGGGAAGTAGACATATTTTTAGGAGAACTTTTAGAGATTTTCTCTTCAAGCTTCAGATGTGACTGCCTAAGCAAACCTGAAATAATGAGGAGGAAGCCAGGGTGGGTATCATTTATGTAATGTTAAAGGTCTGCCTGAGACAATTCCCTAGAAGTGATGCCAGAGAGAGGTGTTCCCATGAGCCTGGGGTTCAGGCTGTGCAGATTCTAGAAGGATGTCACATTGGACTGGACTGGGAATTAGGTAGCATGCCTGTAATCCCAGCTCTTGGGAGGCTCTACAGGAGGATAGTAAGGCCAGGGTAGCCTGGGGTACATAGTAAGGTTCTATTGTAAAAATGAAAGTTGGGTTTGGTGGCATATGTATCTAATTCCAGCCCTCTGGAGGCAAGGGCAGGAAGCTCTCTGTGAGTTTCAGGCTATCCAGGGTTACATAGTGAGACCCTTCTCAGAAGAAGAAAAATGGGAGGCTGGAGAGATGGATCAGTGGTTAAGAACAGATGACTCTGGTTCCCAGCATCTATATGGTGGCTCACATCCAACTCTAGTTCCAGGGATCTAGTGCCCTCTTCTGGCCACTACGGGCACCAGAAGCAATACATTTACACACATGCAGGCAAAACACTCATACACATAAAATGAATATAAATCTTTTAAAGAATAAAAAAAATAGAACTGGGGGTGTACCAAGTTGGTAGAGTGTTTGCCTAGCAGGCACAAAACCCTGGGTTCGACCCCCAACAATGCATAAACTGGGCAAGGTGGTGAACATCTGTAATCATAGCACTCAGGAGGTGGAAGCAGAACCATCAAGAGTTCAAGCCCAGAGGCTGAAGACTTACTCTATGATAGAGTACTTGTCTAGCATGTGCAATGCCCTGATTGGAAAGAGAGGTCCTCATGCCTGTAATCTCAGCATTTGGGAGGGTTTGGGCTAACCTGAGCTACACTGTGAGTTCCCAGACAGTCTGAGCTGCATAATAAGACATTGTCTCAAAAGAAGAGGAGGAAAGGGAAAATGGGAAGAAGAAAGGTTGTTTAAGGCCAGAAAAAGCAGCAAAACAAACAGTAACATAAACACAGAAGAAGGATCTGAAGGTGGCAGAGGGCAGCAGCAGAGGAAGCGTACAGAAACAGCAATGTGTAGGGTATGGAGAACAGCATGCTTTCTACTCTGTCTTGGAAAGAACAGGAGAGGTTGATGGAAATAGTGCAGCCATGAGGCAGAGTCACAGAGAGCCTTGAATGCAGAAGAGCAGAGTTTAACTGGTTTCTTATACATATTTCTTACTTTTTAGCTGTGTGTGTACTCACATGCACATGGATGAGCCAGAGGTAGATGGTGAGGGTCTTCTTTGATTGCTGTTCTAGTTTTATGTCTTTTGCTATGATAAACTGTTCTAATAAAAGCAGTGTAGAGGAGGAAAGGGTTTATTTGGCTTGTAATTTCAGGTTTCAGTCCATTTCAGGGTAGTGAAGACGAGGCCTGAAATGGCCAGTCACATCACACCCACTGTCAAGAGCAGAGAGAATCAAGTGCTCTTATGCTACCTGCTTCCCTAGGTTGTTCACATTTGGCTAGCGTTCTTATACAGCCCAGGACTACCTGCTTAAGGAACCATGCCACTCACAGTGGGTTGGGTCTTCCCACATCAGCCAACAGTGAAGATAACCCCCTACAGACATTCCCACAGGCCGACTTGATCTAGAAGGTTCCCAGTTGAGGCTCTCCCCTTAAGTGCTTTCGGGTCATGGCAAGTTGACAATTATAACTACCAGCACAATCGATTTCTACCATTTATTTTTTGAGACAGGATCTCACTATGTAGCACAGGTGGCCTTGAACTCAGAGGTCTTCCTGCCTCTGCCTCCCAAGTGCTATGATTAAAGATCTATACCACCATGCCTGACTCTGTTTTTTGAGACAAGATCTCTCATTGAACCTGTAGCTCTAATTTCTCTGGACTACCAGGCCAGCAAGTTCCATGGGTCCTTCTGTCTCTGAGCACTGAGCGCTCTCTCTCTCTCTCTCTCTCTCTCTCTCTCTCTCTCTCTCTCTCTCTCTCTCTCTCTCTCTCTCCTGTACCTAGCTTTTCCTCTGGGTACTGGGTGTTCAAATGCAGGTCTAATGCTTTCATAGCAATCACTTTTCTAACTGAGCTATCGCCCCAGCTCTACATCTCTCTCTCTTACATCTGCGCCCTTTTCTCCGTATCCAGTTCATACTCCATTATCTTCTCCTTCAGTGTAGACCCAAAGTGACCTTCATAACAACCATACTTGGTCCCCAACAGTTTTAAACCTTTCCATAAACTTTGAGACTACCTTGTGGACTAGAGAGAATCCAATCTTCCAGATCTCAAAGGAGGAAGAAGAAAGGAAAGATAATTAGAAAAAAAAGAAGGCAAATATGTTAGGCTCACAGAGAGTCATGGTAAGGATGCCTGTCCTCCAATCTCCCAGCATCTGTTGCCAGGAGTAACCCAGTTCACAAGGTAAAGAGATCTTAAATGTGATTGAGGAGACAAAAGGCCCCAATAAGTAGTGATGTTATTTCTGCCCTCACTACCTGCCTCTTTAGCTACCTTTGTTCTCACCCGTCCCAAATCACGCTCTACAGGACATTCATTCTGAAGCAAGAGTCAGCAGCAGGAGCTATACTGTACTCTCATCCCTGAGATGCTGTGGGGGCTCTCGGCCCTGCCTCTGTTGTATTTGGGTAAGTAGCACAGACTTTGAAACCATCACCTGGGCCAATGGAAAAGGAAGGGGAAGGAATAATTGTTTGCTATGAGCTAGAGCTAAATTATAGTCCACATTGTCATTACAGAGGACCATGACTCTGTAGCTGTATAACTTCCCCCAGAAGACTATTTTTTATTCACTGCAGATAAAGAGGGGAAATACACCAGAGAAATGATTCATTAGAGTCCAGCTGGGGGAACCAATGGCTTTATTGGGATTGCTTACAGGAGACAGGTGACTTGGAGTCAAGCTGCATCACTAAAAAGCATGCCTGTCCCCAGCCTTCAAGCATGAATGGCTGATCACAAAAGCTTCATTCCTAGATCTGTCTTCACAACTTGGAGGCAGCTCCACTGAAGAGTCTCCTCTCTCCCAGAAATCCTTTACTGTTTATATAACCTGATGGAAGGGCCTCATAAATCCTGAAAGTGTAATGACCCTCCTAAGCCCTCCTCCTTCCTCCAGGAGGGAATTTTTTCATCTGGAGGAAGCAGCAAGAACTACAGAAGTAGTTTTTCTTTAATTCCTACATCACCACAACATTGGTCATCTTGAACCTACTTTTTCAGTAGCTCAGGAATGATGCAGGGTGGTGAGGTCACAAAATATAGTCCATACTAACAAGGACAATGACAAAAACAGAAGCTGGATTAAGTGGCACTGACTGAAAGAATTCTTTTGCAGTGGGCAGTGGTTAGTGCAGAGACTAGTCAAAGTGTGGAGAATAAGAGACTGTGAATGCTGGGCTGTGGTTGTGTGTGCCCTTAATCCCAGCACTTGGGAGGCAAAGGCAGGAGGAGCTCTGTGAGTTAGCGGCCAGCCTGGTCTACAGAGAGAGTTCAGGATAGCCAGGGCTACACAGAGAAACTTTATGAGAGAGAGAGAGAGAGAGAGAGAGAGAGAGAGAGAGAGAGAGAGAGAGAAGATCCTGGAGCTGGAGGGATGGTTTAGCAGTTAAGAGCATGGTCTTGCAGGGGATGTGGATTCAGTTCCCAGCACCCATGTCAGGTGGCTCACAACCACTCATGACTCCAGCTCCAGGATACTGGACACTTCTGGTCACAGTGGGCACCTAAACACATGTGCATATATCCACACAGAGACACATACATACATGTAATTAAAAATAATAAATCTTGAAAAAAGTAACTTTTTATTAAAAAGAGGGAGACTAAGTGTTCTGCTGGAGAGGGGACTACTATATCAACCTTCCATCCCTGGCCCCAAAGTTCAGTGAACTTGTGGAAGAAGGGGTAGAAAGAATGTAAGAGAGAGGATTGAGAAGAGTGCCAAGAAATGCTGTCTTCTAGACATGACTTTGGCTGTTGCATTCATGAACTCATAGCATGTGTAGTTACCTGCACAAGAAAGACCAAGCCAGTTAAAAATTTCAGCATGGATGGTAGAGAAGCTACTGAAGTCACGTCTCTAACTGAGGAACTACTGACAGGTGATGGCTACTGGAGGAGTCTCTTTTCTTTGAGAGATGGCTACTGGTAGGCTGCCCATGCTGCACTCAATATCTCCACCCCATGCGGATATGGGCAGCAAGAACTGGACTCAGTGGTTTAAAATAAATATACAGACAGACTTGAAGTTGGAAGGAGGTATTGGGAATGTCCTGGAGGGGATCTTGAGCAGGGGCATGGGATGGATAAGGTCAAGCTAAATTGTATACACGTATGAAATTTTTTACAGAATAAATAAAAATAGTATTTTTTTAAAAAAGAATTTAATGGAATTGGGCCTGAAGATGTGGCTCTGTTGGTAAGATGTTTGTCTAGCATGCTCAAAGCCCCAGGTTTGGTTCCCTGAATCTCATAAAGCTGTGTATGGTGGTATATGCCACTATCTCAGTACCTGAGGAGTGACTATATAGTCACTTTGAGGCCAATCTAGGCTAGAGGTTTTGTCTAGAAAAAATACTTCAATGATAAAAGTATCCCTATTTGCAGACGATATGATAGTATACATAAGTGACCCCAAAAATTCTACTAGGGAACTTCTACAGCTGATAAACACCTTCAGTGAAGTGGCTAGATACAAGATTAACTGAAAAAAATCAGTAGCCCTCCTATATAAAAACGAAAAATGAGCAGAGAAAGAAGTCAGAGAAACAACACTCTTTACAGTGGCCACACATAATATAAAATATCTTAGTGTAACTCTAACCAAGCAAGTGAAAGACTTATATGACAAGAACTTCAAGTCTTTGAAGAAAGAAATTGGAGACGATATCAAAAGATGGAATGATCTCCCATGCTCTTGGATAGGTAGGATCAATATAGTAAAAAAATGGCCATCTTGCCAAAAGCAATCTACATATTTAATGCAATTCCCATCAAAATTCCAACAGTTCTTTACAGGTCTTGAAAGAGCAATATCAACTTCATGTGGAAAAACAAAAAACTCAGGATAGCTAAAATAATCCTGACCAATAAAAGAACTTCTGGAGGTATCACCATCCCTGATTTCAAGCTATACTACAGAGCAATAGTAGTAAAAACTGCATGGTATTGGTGTAAAAACAGACAGGCAGACCAACACAATAGAATCAAAGACCCAGAAGTAAATCCACACACCTATGGACCCTTGATTTTTGACAAATAAGCCACAATTATACAATGGAGAAAAGAAAGCATCTTCAACAAATGGTGCTGGTCTAAATGGATGTCTGCATGTAGAAGAATGCAAATAGATTCGTATCTACCACCCTGCACAAAATTCAAGTCCAAGTGGATCAAAGACCTCATAAATCTAAATACACTGAACCTGATAGTAGAGAAACTGGGATAGCCTTCAACGCATTGGCACAGGAAACAATTTCCTGAACAGAACACCAATAGTGCTGACATTAAGGTTGAAAATTAATAAATAGGACCTCATGAAAATGAAAAGCTTCTGTAAGGCAATGGACACCATCAAAAGGATAAAAAAAGCAGCCTACAAAATGGGAAAAGATCTTCATCAATCCCACATCTGTCAGAGGGCTAACATCTAATATATATAAACAACTCAAGAAACTAGACATCAACAAACCAAATAATCCAATTAAAAAATGGGGTAAAGATCTAAACAGAGAATTCTCAATGGAGGAATCTCAGTTGGCTGAGAAGTACTTAAAGAAATGTTCAATATCCTTAGCCATCAGGGAAATACAAATCAAAACTACTTTGAAATTCCATCTTACATCTGTCTGAATGGCTAAGATCAATAACACAAGTGACAACTCATGCTGATGAAGATGTGGAGCGAGGGGAACACTCCTGCATTGCTGGTGGGAGTGCAAACTTGTACAGACACTATGGAAATCAATATGACAGTTCCTTAGAAAATTGGGAATCAATCTACCTCAAGATCCAGCTATATCACTCCTGGGCATGTACCCAAAGGATGCTCCACCATACCACAAGGACACTTGCTCAACAATGTTCATAGAAGCTATATTTGTAATAGCCAGAAACTGGAAACAACCTAGATGTCCTTAAACCAAAAAGTGGATAAAGAAAATGTGGTACTTTTACACAGTGGAATATGACTCAGCTGTTAAAAACGAGGACACCAGGAAATGTGCAAGAAAATGTATGGAACTAGAAAAGATCATCTAAATGAGGTAACCCAAGCTCAGAAAGACAAACATGGTATTTGCTCACTTATAAGTGGATATTAACAATAAAGTAAAAGATAACTATACTACAATCCACAGTCCCAAAGAAGCTAAGTAACAAGAGGTCTCAAGGGGGAATGCTTGGATCTCCCTAGCAAGAGGAAATAGAATAGATTTCAGGGGTGCACTGGGGGTAGGGGAGATGGGAACAGAAGGGATCGAGTGAGGGGAAGATGGAGGGAGAGAGTACTAGGAGAGACAAGTGGAATCTGGAGGCATCTCTGGGATGACCTAGAAACCTAGTGCAATGGAAACTCCCAGAAATCTGAGGGTAATTCTAGGTAAGACTCCTAGCAGTGGAGTATATAGAGCTTGAACCGACCATCTCCTGTAATCAGGTAAGACTTCCGGTGGAGGGACTGGCATACCAACCCAGCTACAAAACTTTTCCTACAATTAGTCCTGCCTACAAGATGTGCTGGGGTAAAGGTGGTGCAGAAATTGTGGAAGTGGCCAACCAATGACTGAGACCCATGCCATGAGAGAGAGCTCGCCCCTGACACTGCCTTGAGGGCCAGGACCCAGAGGCTGAATAACACAGAGACCTAGGATAGAACCAAACATGACTGACAACAAAATGTCAACGAAATGATTTCTATTGATATTCTGTTAAACTCAAAGATTGGTGCCTAGTCCAATTGCCATCAGAGAGACTTCACCCAGCAACTGATGGAAACAGATTCGGACACCCACAGCCAAACATTAGGCCGAGCTTAGGGAATCCTATGGAAGTGAGCAGGGAGGATTGTAGAAGCCAGAGGGGTCAAGGACACCACAAGAAAACCCACAGAACCAACTAACCTGGCCTCATAGGAGCTCACAGAGACTGAAGTGCCAACCAGGGAGCCCGCATGGGACTGACCTAAGCCCTCTCTATATGTGTGACAGTTGTGTAGCTTGGTCTTCTTGTGGGATGCCTAACAGTGAGAACAGGAACTGACTCTGACCCTGTCACCTGCTTTGGGGCCCTTTCCTCCCACCAGGTTGCCTTGTCACCCTTCATAGGAGAGGAGGTGCCTAGTGTTACTGCAACTTGATATGCCATGTTTGGTTGATATCCATGGGAAGCCTACTTTTTTCTAAAGAAAAACAGAGGAGGAGTTGATGTGGTGAAGGGGAGGAGGAGAGGTGAGGGAGGGGCTGGGAAGAGAGGAGGGAGGGGAAACTGTGGTCCGGATGTAAAACAAAAAACAAAACAAAACAAAAAAAATTTTAAAAAGAAAAAAGAAAAGACTTCAATGGAAACCATTATGTTTATGGTGATGACCAATTATATCAAATAGATTAAGGTCAGTGAGGGGAAGCGGTGGTGGAGAAGTAGCCAGAGGACTAAGTGCAAGCACCCAACCGTCCTCTCCTAGGGAAGCTGTCTAGACAGCACATTTCTCTCCACATCAGTGCGTGGTGAATCACGGAACTGAAGTTTAGCTTCCCAACTCAGAAGCCCATCAAACCTTGAGTGCAAGGCTGTCCCTGGGAGGCTGGTCGTGCAGTCGTGAGAGGCCTTAGCATCCAGTACTTGCAGAGATCAAGATCATGCTTACTGTATCAGCAGCGCTACAGGCTCTGCCGCAGGACTCGGGTGAATTCCCCGCCCCCAAGCTCACACATACACAGAGCTTCATTAGGAGTGGCGGACATCACAGATAGCACGGTGGACGCCTGAAGGGACTTTTCTGCCCTATAGGCTGGGGAAGGGATGAGTTCCACCAGAAGTTACAAGACAGGAAGACAATGGGTAAAAGTGAAGTTATAATTCAGACCAGGGGAGGGCTCCAGAATTCATGATATGAGTTCAGTATCTGGAACCCACATGGTGGAAGGAGAGAACTGACTTCTGCTAGTAGGCCTCTGACCTTCATAAAATGCGATGAAAAAGTAACATTTTAATTTAAAGTTGGCCTGGGTATCAGAGAGGGCTGGGTTTGCAGCTTCCAAGGGCCCCAGGCCACAGCTGGTTATATACAGTCTTTCGGTTGCTGTGGTAAAACCCTGGCCAAAAACACCTTGGGGAAGGAAGGGTTTATAGACACTTATAGTCTATAGTCTATTGTTAGGGAACCCAAGGAAGCAACCTGGAGGCTGGAGCTGAAGCAGAGACCATGAAAAAGTACTGCTTACTGGCTTCCTCTCCATGGCTTGCTCAGTTTCTTTTGCAATCCAGTCCAACCTTCTTAGGGATGGCACGATGTCTACATTGTGCTAGACCCTCCCATGTGAATCAGAAATCAAGAAAAGACCCCCACAGACCTGCCCAGAGGCCAGTTTGATGGAGGCAATTCCTCAATTGAGATTCCCTCTTTCCACAAATGTCTAGGCTTATGTTGAGTTAACAAAAACTATAACACATATCAGCTGTCTGACCAGAGGAAATTTCAGGCAAGTGTGACCTGATCTGGGGGACACTGGCAGCTAGAGAGACTGTAATTGAGCAATGCTACATATTCTTAAGACTCCACTGTAAATCACATGACTCTTAGACTATCTGATGTGACCTATGGTGCATATTAATAAAGACTTACCAAGAAGGACTTTCCAGAAATGGGCAAATGCCAAGCCTGTCCTGAGTGACATGACCCTCTAATTGACAGGCAGAACTCTGAAAACTTGAGGTTGGACTGGCTTCCATCTTAGATCTCTCCCCCACAGGGTTACTTGCTCCAGTTTTGGTTGATATCAAGACAACAGTGGTGGCAGACAGTCTATGCAGTCCAGTCCCTTGTGTGTTTGAGTTTTCCAAGGCATCTCCCGGAAATCCCATGACTGTGGGCTACAGGCTTGATGAAAACATCAGCTTCCATGTAGATATCAGCCAGCCCAGAGCCCCCACAGGTGATTTCTCCACAGAAGAGGTGGAAGACTGCATCCTGCTGAGCCGTGACATGCTCAGAAGGGAGAACATGACCTACGTGCTCTATGTAGGTCTGGAAGATCAGAAAGGCACTGTCCTGAGAGAGGACGTTGGACTCTCCATATCAGGTGATGTTCAGGCTTGTGCACTAAATGGTTTAGGAAGTAGGAAATCCAGACAGAGTGCTGGTGATCAGGTGGCTGTTACTTCATCAGGCACTGGATTTTATATAACCTGAGGTGTTCACACACACACACACACACACACAGAGAGAGAGAGAGAGAGAGAGAGAGAGAGAGAGAGAGAGAGAGAGAGAGAGAACAAAGAAGAAAAAGCAAAAAAAGGCTGGAGAGATGGCTCACTGGTTAAGGGCACTGGCTGCTCTTCCAAAGGTCCTGAGTTCAATTCCCAGCAACCACATGGTGGCTCACAGCCATCTGTAATGAGATCTGGCACCCTCTTCTGGCCATCAGGCATACATGCAGACAGAACACTGTATACATAATAAATAAATTAATGGAAAAAAAAAGAAAAAAAAAGTTGGGGACCAGTGAGACAGGTCAATGGATAAAGGCACTTGCCACCAGGCTTGAAGACCTGAGTTCCATCTCTGGGACCCATGCGGTAGAACTAACTCCTGCAAGATATCTTCTGACCTCCACACGAATGCCTGACCACATATAAATTAACTAATGTAAAAATTACAAAACCTTAAGTGTAATTGATTTCCAAAGTAATATAATGCTTTAAGTACAGTTGGCATCTCTCTAAATAGAAATTTCAAAGACAGGGCAGGCGTAGTGGCTTGTGCGTGTAACCTTAGCACTTGAGAGCTGAGGTAATAAAAATGCAAGGAGCTTGAGGTCAGTCTGGGCTACAGAGGGAGTTCCAGGCTTACCCACATAAAGCCAGGCATGGTAACACACATCTGTAATCTCATCATTCCTGTGGTAGGAGGGGAAGCAGAGGCAGCAGGATCCTGGGAAGTGGAGGGACAGCTAGCCTGGCATTCACAGCAGAGAACAAGAGATGAAAGTCAAGGACTGACATCTGAAATTTTCCTATAAGCTTCACACATATACCTTGGCACACTTGTGTCTGAATTCACTTGTATGAACATGTACATGCACATGTACATAGAAAGGTTTTTAATTTGAAAAGAGGAGGGAAATGGTCATAGAGCAGTTTGGGGAGGGGCAGAGCTCAAGTTGAGAGGCAGGTGAGAGGGAGGCTGAGTAGCATCTCACAGGGGGATGTCTAGTCTGAGGATATGAGGAGCCACAGGCACTGTAGATCAGGAAACTCATTCGCCATGAGTTTGTGTCCAGATGTCAGGGCGTGAGATGACCCAGAGGGTAAAGATGCTTCCCACCAAGGCTAACAAGCCTAGTTCAACCCTTGCAACCCAAATTCTAGAAGGAGAACCAGCTCCCACAAATTGTCCTTGAACCTCCATGTTCAGTCCATCATGTGCATGCACACACACACACACACACACACACACACACACACACACACGACACACACACACTGGATAAATGAATACATTTATTCTTAAAGTTTTATTATATTCATTTACACATGCACACACCCGTGTGTGTGTGTGTGTGTGTGTGTGTGCGCGCGCGCGCGCGCGCGCGTGCGCGCGCGCACGTGTGTTGTGTTTTTTTTGTCTTTTTGGGTTTGGTTTGTTTGTTTGTCAATTTGACACAAGCTATTGTCATCTGGGAAGAAGTAACTTCAGTTGAGGAATGCCTCCATCAGATTGGGCTGTAGGCAAGTCTGTAAGGCATTCTCTTGATTAATAATTGGAATGAATGGCTCAGCCCACTGTGGGTCACATCACTCCAAGACAAGTGGACCTGGATTGTATAAAAATGTAGACTAAGCAAGCCAATAAGCAGAGTTCTTCCATGGTTTCTGCTTCAGGTCCTTCTTCCAGGTTCCTGCCTGGAGTTCCTGTCATGACTTCCTTCAATGATGGAGTGTGACATGGAAGTGTCAGATGAAATAAACCTTTTCCTTTCCTTTCCAAATTGCTTTTGGTCATGTCTTTATCAGAGCGATAGAAAACAAACCAATACAGTGTAAGTGCATATGTGCGTGCCACTGTGTGTATGTGGAAGTCACAAAGGTGAGAGTCTGTTCTTTCTTCCTTAGTTTAAGTTCTAGGATGAACTCAGGTTGGAGCCTGTGGCAACTGCCTTCATCTGCTTAGCCATATTTCCAGCCCCAAATAATGTAATTTTAATCCTTCTAAAAATCTAGACTTTGCCAGGCAGTGGTGGCCCATGCCTTTAATCCCAGCACTCAGGAGGCAGAGGCAGGCGGATCTCTGTGAGTTCGAGGCCAGCCTGGGCTACCAAGTGAGTTCCAGGAAAGGCGCAAAGCTACACAGAGAAACCCTGTATCGGAAAAAAAAAAAATCTAGACTTTGGGATCAAGGGTTTCCACCTTACTAAGCTCCTTCATCTTGTTCATCTGATGGGGTGTGCTGGGCTGGGCTTCCTGATAGAGAGCAGAAATTGACAAAAAACAAACAAACAAACAAACAAAGAACAAAGCAAAGCACCATATGAAAATGGCAATCCTGGGTTCTGTGAGGCTGTTAGGAAAAGTTTGAGGGGTCCAAACAGAAGTACTGTACAGTGACCTGCTCCTAAAGCATGAATCTAAGTGTATCATATTTTTCTTTCCTCTAGACCTGACCCAAAAGCCAGAGCTTCACATCCCAGAATACAGTGTGCCTAGAGAGCCTATGACTTTGACCTGTATTATCCAAGACACCTGCCAAGAGCCCAAAGCCCTTTTTCTCTCCTGGAAGGGACCTGCCGTGTCTTCCAGCATGCGTGTCTCCATCAATCCATCTTCAGAGCTGCCCATTGCCCCGAAGCCTGAGGACCAGGACACTACCCTCAGATGCTACTTAAATCTATCCCTAGATAACCTGACCAGCAGGAAAGCGGTCAAGCTACAACTGGTCTGTGAGTGCTGGTGGGCACTGTCCGGGTCTAGTGTGGGTAATGGTGGGTTCCAGAGAAAGAGCTGGGTCCTGGAGAGAAGCAGTCATATGTTGACCCTCTGGGGCTGAGAAATCACAGGTAAGAGTGAAGTCCAAGTTTGGTACAGATGATGAGAAAAGGTGAAAGAGAACCTCTCTGAGTCTCAATACCACTCTCGGGCTTCTGGAAAGCCTCTGAAGCTCTTTAGGAATCACAAAGAAGAAGTTTGGGGGATGCAGAGATGGCTTAAAAGGCTGAGAGAGCTCATTGCTTGTATTAGTTACTTCTCTGTTGCTGTGATAAAATACCACGATCAAGGAAACTTACAGAAGAAAGAGTTTGTGTATTATGGTTCCAGAGGGATGGAGTCACCGCGGCAGGGAGGCTGGGCAGCGAGCAGAGGAAGCAGAGTGCAAACAGAAAATGACCCAAGATTTTTAACTCTCAAAGCCCACCTCCAGTGACATACTTCCTCTACCAAGGCCTTACCTCCTAAGCCTCCTCAGACAGCACCACCAACTGGGGACCAAGTATTCAAATACCTGAGCCTCTGTGACACATTCTCATTCAAACCACCACACTACCCCTGCAGAGGAACTGAGTTCAGTTCCCCCAGCAATTGTGTTGGGCAGCCCAAATTACCAGTAACTCTAGCTCTAGGGGGATCCAGTGCCCTCTTCTGGTGTCTCTGGGCACTGCACTCAATGCACATACATAGACACACATATGCACATAATTATAAATAAATTTGGGCTTGGGAGGAAGTGAAGAAAAGCATGGATGTCCCTCTGAACCCTGCCCCTTCTCCACAGCACCTGCTAGGCTGCTCAGCTACTCCTGTTTGCTGAAGAGGACACTAGCATGTAGTTGCTCCTTCCATGGGATCCCCACACCTTTTGTGCAGTGGTGGATTGGAGGAACCCCTGTGAGTGTGAATAGCAGAGATTCCATCCTGCACATGACCTCCACCACACTGGAACCCTGGACCAACAGCACCATTCACCTCATGTGGGAACCAGAAATCATTAGGAGACTTCGTTGTGAGGGGAAAAATCAATATGGAGTCCATGCTTCCAGAATCTTCCTGATACCAGGTGAGTGGACAGAGGTCTGGTGACTAAGCTGGAAGGCCAGCACTTGAGGACCAGGATGAGAACAAACACAGAGCAGAAGGAAGAGAGTTATGGTTAGAAAGCCTCAGGCAACCATACTCTCTTCCCTTTCATTTCAGATAAAAGCTCCATTGCCAGTGTCTTCCTGAGAGGGCTAATCCAGGGCATTGTGTATGGGACCATAGCATCTTCTTTATTCTTCTTCTTCCTTGTTGTACTAATGTGAGTATCAGAGTCATCACCAAGCCCATCCCACAGCCCAGCACATTGACCTATTATTTCATTTTTAAAAATCACATTTATTATTTCATTTGAGTGTGTGTGTGTGTGTGTGTGTGTGTGTGTGTGTGTGTGTGTGCAAATGCATGTGCCATGCATGCATGGTGTGTGAGTGGAGGTCAAAGGATAACTTCTAGGAGTTGGTTATTTCATTTCACCACATAGGACAGTCTTGGTTTGCAGGCCCCTTTATCCACAGAGCCATCTCACTGACCCTTCATTGACTTATGATGTTCATTTTCTTCCAGTTTTGTTTCTGTTGAAATGGACTCATCATTAAGTTCCAGCCTTCTTTATTTGCATTTAGGGCTATACATTTCCCTTTAAGCATAAATTTAACTGCATCTCACAGATGTGGCTATGAACTATGTTATTATCACTTGAGTGAAACAGTTCCAATTCCAATATGATTTTTGACCTATTAGAAATGTCAATGCTTTCTAGTAAATCCCCCATACACTGTTTCAGTACTGAGGGTTGAATATAAGTCTTTGAACATGATAGACAATTGTTCTACCATTGAGTCATGCCCACGTCCCTCTGGGAGGGGAGATTCTAGGTAGGTACTGTACCACTGAGCTACATTCCCAGCTCTCTTTATACTTTTATTTTAAGACATAGCCTTAATACAGTGGTCTTGGACTTTCTCACCTTCATAGTAGCTGGTATACAGGCCTGTACCACAGGACCAACTGATCCTCTTTCTAGCTTAAATTAAATAGGATCATAAAATATACTATGCATAATACCAATTTATTTTCTTTGCAGCAAATTTTTGCTTATTTTTAGTAAACATTCTACATGGGCTTAAATGAAATGTGCATTTCACACCTGTGAATGCAGTCATGATACACACTTCCTGTAAGTCAAGTTCATTTGTGATGGGTCTGAAACTGGCTAGTGAAAAGTGCTTGCTTCCACCCTGACGATCTGATCCCCCAGGCTTAGTGGTGGAAGGAGAGAATCAGCTCCTGCAAGTTGTCTTTGGACCACCAGACAACCCCCACACACAGTAAATAAAGAAAATGTAATTTTATGAAGTTCATTGTGTTGCCAAGGTCTCCTCCAACTCAGCCATCTGAAGCCAACCCTAGCCAATGCTTCTGATCTTCAGAGCATGGCTCTCTTCAGCTTCTGCCAGGTCTCTGGAAGTGCTTTCCAAGCCATTTTCTGTTGTTTTTGTAAAAGGATGGTTTTCAGACAGGAAATGAAAATTTGGATCTCACTCTCTCAATTCACATAGGAGCCAAAAAAAAAAAAAAAAAAAAAAAAAAAGCTGTTCATCTGCAAAGAGATAGAGACTGATGGACATCTTTAGAAATCTGGCTCCAGCTGTTGGGGTGAGAGGAGGTGTATGATAGGACAGAGTCCATAGGTAGCTGTGAAGTGTTCCAACAGGCCCTTGCTGTTGCTAGAGCAAGAGAAGCAGGTGACTACTTATGTAATCTGTGGTATGTTCACTGAATAGAATAGTATAGAGCCACCAAAAAGACTGAGTTCCTTGTTTTTTGATGTACCAAAAATGTTAAGAGAAGGGAATATATATATATATATATATATATGTATGTATATGAGTGTATATATATGTGTGTATATATGTATATATATGTATATGTATGTATATATATATATATATATATATATATATATATATAGAGAGAGAGAGAGAGAGAGAGAGAGAGAGAGAGAGATTGCAGGGTTGCAAGAGAAGCAGAGAGAAGGCACTTTATCCTGGAGTTGATGGGAAACCCCAGGAGAACTGTGACCAAGAGAGAAACAGCAGTTTCTAAGGCCTGGAAAGTGATAGCCTAGAAGGTAAGTAGAGGCTGTGGAGACAGTCCAAACCAAGAGAGTACGTTTGACTTATGGATGAGTGGGCTGGTCACAGAACCAGCATGTGGAGACAACCTGGTCTTCTGGCAGCAGCCCAGGGTTCATTTCAGGAATGGTGGTGATGGTAAAGAGCAGGGGTGTCCAGCCCTGAGGTCGGGGTAGAGACTGAATGTGGTACTCACCACAGGGTTCCATTGTTTTAGAATGAAGATGCTTAACTGGTGGGGGGAAATTCAAGCTTGCAAGAACAGAGAGGAGAAACCAGTTTCAGGAGGAGCCAAAACAGTTGAAATCTGAAGCTGTGCATGGATGGCCTGGGCTGGAGGTAAGTGCCAGTCAGCCTGAGCTGTGTGCTTGGCTTGCAGAGGGATGCAAACCAGGCCCTCCCAGCCCTCCTGGGCACAACCACTGGAGGTCGGGGCACACGCTCTTTAGGAACAACTATTACAGCCTCACCCTGGCACTCCAGCTCTGCGTCAACTTGACCAGCATGGAAGGGCAGGTCTTAACTGGATGTGGGTCTGGATTTGTTCATTATTCACAACGAGGTCCCATGGAACAGCAGCGCCCTGCAGTGACCATGGCAAGGACCCTACAGCCTCAGCCCCAGCATTGACCCACAATGGAGACCTTTCAGACACCAGCAGATGGTGCCCGTTGAGAACAGTAAATTCCAGTGTAAATGCTTTGTAAGTCAGCTGGGATCACCATGAGAAAGTGGCCCAGGATGGGTACCTTCAAACCACAAGTTTTTTTTCCTTAATTCTGGGAAGCTGAAGATCAAGATGGAGGTGTCCAGATGCCTGGCCTCTCATGGGCCGGCTCTCCTTCGGTCTCCTTTGCATCCTCACAGGATCTTCTCTGGGTCCCTCCCCCTCCTCCTTTTCCTCTGACATTTTGGTCTGTTTGTTTGGAATGTAGGGCCTTACTCATTCTGATACCAGACAAGAGCTCCATTGCAGAGCCACGCCCCAGCCCCTCACTTTGGGGTTCTAGAAAAACACTCTACTGCATTCCTGTATCCCTGTCTTCTCTTACATTTTTTTAAGACAGGGTCTCACTAAGTCACCCAGGGTGACCTTGAACTCTGAGATCCCCCTGCTTCAGCCACCTAGTAGGTAGGATGACAGTTGTTCCCTGCCACTTCGACCCTAATTTCTTGTCATAGTCCATATTGGGTCTAATCCACCCCGTGAACTCATCTTAATCGATTGCTTGATTGCCTCTGCAAAGTCTCGTCTGAAAATAGGATTGTATTCTGGCGGGCCTGGAGTTTAGCGTAGAGCGTAGGAGGGGGGAGGGGGCTGTGGCTCAGCTGGTGGACATGCCTGCCCAGGGTGCTTGATGCTCTGGGTTGAGCCCCAGCACCACACAACTGAGGTGTGGTTCCCACCACGGTCATTTCAGCACTCGGAAGACAGAGGCGGAAGGATCAGGAGGCCAGCTTGGGCTACATGAGATCCTGTTTCGATTAATCAATCAATCAATAAATGGCAAAAAGTAAGAAATTTTTTTTAAGATTCCAAGGAAATCATTCTTTTTTTAAAATTTAATTAATTTTATTAACTTATCTTCCATCCCAATCATAGTTTCCCCTTCCTCCTCCCTCCCTTCAGCCTCCCCTTCAATCTGCTCCTCCTCTGTTTCTGTTCAGAAAGGCAGGCCTCCCGTAGATATCAGCAAAGCATGGGTATCAAGTTGCGGTAAGGGAATAAGCACCTCCCCTTGTATTTAGGCTGAGCAAGGAGACCCAGTAGGAGGAATAGCTTCCCTAGAGCCAGCCAAAGCATTAGGGAAGCCCCTGCTCCCATTGTTAGGAGCCCCACAAAAAAAATAGATCAAGCTGCACAACTGTCACACATATAGAGAGGGCTTAGGTCAGTCCCATGCAGGCTTCCTGGTTGGCACTTCAGTCTCTGTGAGCTCCTATGAGCCCAGGTTAGTTGACTCCATGGGTTTTGTTGTTGTTGTTGTTGTTTGTTTTTGTTTTTTTTCTGCTGTCCTCAACCCCTCTACAAATTCTTCTTCAGCAGGATTTCCTAAGCTTCGGCCTAATGTTTGTCTGTGGGTCTCTGCATCTGTTTCCACCAGTTACTGGATGAAGGCTCTATGATGACTATTGGGGTATCACCAATGTGATCAGAGGAGGCGGCCAGTTGAGGCTATATACCCACTATTGCTAGGAGTCTTAGCTGGGGTCATCCTTGTAGATTCATGGGAGTTTCCCTTGCACCTGACTCCGAAAAGCCTCCTCCCCCACTTTTCCAGTCATCTTCCCAGTACTCTCCCCATCCACCCCCCAACCAGATCCCTCAAATTCCCATCCCCACCTGCCCCAAGTCCACCTAGGAGATCTCTTCTATTTCCCCTTCCCAGGGAGATCCATGTGTCCCCACCTTGGGCCCTCCTTGTTACCTCGCCTGTGGATTATAGCACGGTTATCCTTTCAAAAAGTAAGACTTTTGAGAGCAACACCTTTACCCATGGCCAAGGATTAAAGGAGCCAGCCTGCAGGAGTGGGACACTCAGAACAGGAACTGGACCTTCCAATACCAAGGAAAGGCAGGCTCTGTTTCTTCTATACCCCAGGGCCATGGAGAGAGAAAGAAGAGGGTCCATAAGGGAACTGCAGATGGATGATGGCATGTGCCAGATACCTCTGGCCCCAACAGACCTGCAGAGGAGCAAGGTGCTGTCTCCACCTCAGACTCCAGAGCCAGATACCTATAGCCCAGCTCTCACTCTAGCTAGGCAAACCTGCCCCTCTCCAGGCCTCCGCCTTCTTCTTCCCCCTCTTTTCCCTCCCTTCTTCTCCCCCATATCTCACAGCCCTCCTTTTTCCCCTTCTCATTTTTTCTTCCTCTTCCTCTTCCTTTCCTCTCCTCCTCTCTCTCTTCTGTTCCTCCCCTCCTCCTCCTCTTCTAACCTCCGGGTAGTTGCACCCCAGATGAGTGGCCTGGTCCTTGCTTATGGCTCAGGGGCAGTAGCAGGGGAGGGAGGGGCTTAGCTACACCAGAAAGTTGTGAGGAAAGGGTTGACCAGAAGTTCAAGTAAGGGAAGTGTGAGGTTCAGACTGCTCTAGCATTTGGGGCAAGCAGAGACATCAGGAATGAGTCAACCAGCTACCTTTCCTGTGTGTGGTGAGACTTCTTAAAAAGATAACACTTAGGGATACAATACCACATTGCTGGCTACAGTTATCCTGCTGTGGACGGGCTCTCTGAACCCTACTTGCTCTTTATATCTGTTTTTTCATGCCCTTTGCCCCACACACCCACATCCCCCCACCCCACCCACATCATAATCATACTTTGCTGTATTTCTGTTACTTCACATTACTTTGGTTGTTTTGTAGGGTCCATGGATTTTGGGTATATATGGACCTCTTTTCAGCCACCCCACCTCTCTTTGAGACAGGGTTTCATGTAGGCCAGGCTGGCCTCCAACTGCATATGTAGCCAAGGATGACCTTACACTTTTTATTTCCCTGCTTTCACCTGCCCTGTGCAGGGATTGCAAGCAGGCATCCCTGTGCCTGGTTTATTGGTGCTGAGATGGATGCCAGGGCTTCATGTGTGCCAGGCAAGCACTCGACTGACTGAGCCACATGCCCAGCCTTCTTTTGCCATTTCTCACTCTTCCCTCCCTTCCTCCTCCTTCCCTCATTTATCAAATATTTCTCCATGGACCCAGGTGATACTCTGCACTGACTGGTGTGAGGACACATGGTCACAATAGTCTGGTGACCATCCAGACCAAGACACAAATTTATCCTGTAGGGGTGAAGAAAGGTTAAATATCCCATAGATGAAGATAATTTTGTCCCCATCTAGGCTTGGCCACCTCAGGCTCTTCTGAATTGCCTCGGTGGTTGGTCCTGGAGAGGAGATGACAGAATGTACCGGAAGGAGAGAGTCAGGCAGACAGCTGTGTGCCGTCGTCTATTCCTACGGATGAAGGGAGCCAGTGAGACTGTGGTCTGAGACCTGCTCAGTCCAGCAACCCCCAGGACTTGGTGGGCTCAGCATACCCACTTACAGAGCAGGAAACCGAGGCATGCATGGTTAAGGAGTCGCTAGGAGGTGGGGCAAAGAAGATAACTCTGTTCCTCCTTGCAGAGTCCCTCCAGGGTCCTTCTGCTGCCCACAGCAAAGCAGAACTAGTCAAACACTGTGGCTTTGTTTTTGTAATGTGTGCAATAAAGGGTGATGTCTCAGTCACTTTTCAATCGCAGTTATAAAATATCAAGGCAACTTATAGAAGGAAGAGTTTATTTGGGGCTCACAGTTCCAGAGGGTTAGAGTTTATGACTATCATAGTGGGGTGTATGACAGCAGGTAGGCAGGCAGGCATGGCATTGGAGCTGTAGGGAGCTCACATCTTACCCACAAGCATGAGGCCAAGAGAGTGAGTGCACACTAACTGGGAATGTCCTAGGCTTTTGAAACCTCAAAACCCACCCCCAGTGATACACCCCCTCCAACACAGCCATACCTACTAACCCTTCCCAAATATTTCACCAACTGAGGCCCAAACATTCAAGTATGTGAGCCAGTGGGGGCCATTCTCATTCAAACCACCCAAGCATGGCTTCACAGAGTCAGGAGGCAAAATCCAAGTACTATGACAGGGTGAGCTTCCATAATCCAAAATATGAAATCCATCAGAACCTGAAACATTTTATTTTGAGAAAGGATCTCATGTAGCCCAGGCTAGCCTTGAACTTGATATGTAGCCAAGGATGACCTTGAACCCATGATCCCTCCTTCACTTCTCCAGTGGGCAACACCACACCAAAATGAATAAAATGTTATTAAAAATTAAAAGCTTCAGAATTTAGAGTGATTTGAACTTCAGTTCTCCAGATTAGGATGTTGAACCAAAATTAAACTCTTGCTTCCTAAGTTGCCCATGCCAGGCATTTTGTCACAGCAATGAGAACAGTATTTAATAAACAGCAAGCCTGCAATACTTCAAGGAACAGGAAATGGTCCACTGTAGTGCCCAGTGGGTGGAGAACTGACCTGTGTGTCATGTACCCTTCCTGTCCCATGCCATCCTGTCACATCCTGGCTTTACAACTCATTCACCTGCCTACATTAAGAATCCATTAAGGATGGGGCTGCAGATCAACAGTAAACTGTCTGCCTAGGCTCCCCAAGTGAAGAGCTCGGGTGTGGCTCAGTGGTAGAGCCCCTGCCTAGAATCCCCAGTGAGGGGATGAAGGCATGCTCTACGGTACAGCCTCTGCTAGAGTGCCCCATTGAGGGGATGCGGGTTTGCTCAGGGGTAATTCTCTTGCCTGGCAAGGGTTCAATTTAGGGACTCAGTGAATTCTCCTACAACTTATGCCCAAGGAGTGTTACTCCCTGCAGCACAAACATGAAAGGAGAACATCTATTTCCCCCACTGTCTAGCTTAGCTGACTTCATCTCAGAGTTGTGGCTCTTACAATAAAAAAATAATAAAAATATTTATTTACTTGTTTTGTATTGGAGGGTGTTGAATTCCTGAGTCTGAGGGAGAAACCTGAGGTTGGACCTTGTTTATGGGAGGAGGGCTGGAGTCTGGACATCTAGGTGTGAGGGAGGAGGCTGGGCCTTGGACTCCCAGGGTCTGATAGAGGAGGTTGGGGTCTGTGCATCTGGGCCTAAGGAAGGAGGCTGTGGCTTTTGCACCTGGGTCTCCTATGACTAAGGAAGGAGGATCTCCCTTAGTCTGTGCACCTTGGGTCTGAGGGAGGAGGGACAGGACCCGGCTCGGGGGAGGAGGGTTTTGGCTCCTGCAGCAGGAGGCAGTTGGATGAAGTGCATCTCAGGCCCAGGTTCTGGAGACCAGGAGGACGCCTGTGGCCCGGGGGAGGTCGGGGGAGGGGCCGGGCCACAGTAACAAAGGCCTCTCCCTCCAACGAGCAACCCCCCCAGGCCCCGCCTCCGCGGCCCCCCGCCTGCCCTGATTGGCCGGTCTCCCTGCCCGTCAGCGCCACCCCCCTCCCCGGGTC